GACGGTTGGGATTGGGGGAAATCATGAGAGAGTGACCCTATCTGATTAAACGCTCGGAAGGAAACTCCCCGTTTTCTTCCAGGGTCCCGCTGGCTTTTCCAGACGTAGTCCCAAAAGACCTGATTCTCTGAGCAGATTTCTCCTCTTGGAGCTTCGGGGCACCTTCTTTTGCTGAGGAAGGAATGTTCGCCAGCGAACACGCGCCAGCAGATTAGAAAAAGGCCGGCGGGTCTCAAAAAAAAAGGAAGAAACATGGCCGCGGGACCTGAACTTGAACTGGCCGTTGCTCCCACGTGCGCGTTGGCGCGACAAGCAAAACATGTGTTCAACCATGGGATCCAACGCTGCATATCATCAGCAAAGGAGTTTCCAGGTATCCATCTCCCTTGGGGACATCAACCACACCTGGTCCCTTGAAAGCAGCGTTCTTCAAACTTTCACCACAGAACTGGGCTTCGGAAGGTATCCTCACAATGGGGGGGGAGGGGTTCCTTGTGGCCGGCCTTTGAATGGTGTACACCACACGCCCAGCTGGTCTCTGCTGCAACTTCCGAACGCAAGCAAGCCGCTGAGAAGTGGTAGCAAGCCCCGAAGGCCGAGCATGGTCTAGTAGTCTAGCGCTTTTGATCAAGGGGTAGGAAAAACAGAGCCAAATGAGGCTGCGCATCACCGAACCATGAGCCAACCAAAGGCATTCCTGTTCGAGCAACCTGCAAGCCGAGTGACACGACTCAGCTGGATTTCCTTGGAACATGCTCAGGAGTGGAGGGCTTCGGTTGGAGAATCGTCGAGGAAAGCTGGATGTTTGAGCAAGTTGTTCTTTCCTGTAGCCCAACCCTCTGAACGCCACAAAAGTCCTCTTCTTCTTCTTTTGTTGCTCCTCCGTCTCCATCGCTTTGGCCTGCCAAGAAACCAGCCAGGAGAAGTTCCGTGCGCGAGAAACCGGGGATGACACGACTAGCATCTTGCGCAGCAACTCCCACTGCGACAGGCCTCGTCTGCGTCTAGCTTCGTCTTGTCCTCCCTCCGCAGCTTTTCCTTGTCTTTGTTGGAGATGAACCTCAACTTGAACAAGTTGCAGGAAAATTCGAGGGAACCCCGACATCACTTGCTGGTGCTCAGTAGGGAATGACCTTCCGGGTTGTGGGAATGAACGGGGGATTCCCTTACACCCTATGCTTCCTCGACTATTTTTTAAATAGGGGTTGTTCAACCCCTATTTTTTGCATTGACAACCCCTATTTTTTGACATTGGCCTTTGGGGTCCATTTTGGGTTGTTACTTTGTTTTTATCGAAATTACGCCTGCTATTGCAACCTCTTAAGAGGCCGGCGCCCAGTAGATTACTATTTATTGATAGGGTCCTCGGCGCCCTTTCGTGTTTGCGCAATGCACCTGCTGAAAGTCTTGCGTAGACGGAGCCTTCATTCTAGCGAATTCTAGAATTGTCCTCTGCAATTTGCGCAGGTGGCACGAACAACAAGCAATTTTGTGCTAGTTTTTTCCGCCCCAATTTTGCACACAGCTCCAAAAACGACGTGAGCGTAGACAAACCGTAGACAAAGCGTAGAAAAACCGCAGAAACACATTTTTTTGGCGTAGAACCACTATTTTTTGGCGTAGAACCACTATTTTTTGGCGTAGAACGGGCAAATTTTGCAGGGGACCCAGAAGATCAACATTCTCATCCTGGAATGGTTGCTGTGATGGGTAAAGATTTTTGCTGTCCCGTTTTGTTTGGTTTGGCTAAGAAGGTGGGGCAACAGAAGGGCAGAAACGGTCAGAAGAGGATTCACCCTCACGCGCTACATGGCCATGTTCAGAAACCAAGCAAAAAATCCAAGCAACTAGCCTTGATGATTGTAACACATATTGCTGCATATGAAAATACATATTCGGCTTTAGGATCCTATGAGGCGGCCTTAGCGTCAAGTCTTTCCTAGTCCCTGTTCCAGTCCAAAACGGAGGCTGCCGCTCGTCATCAAACAAATAGTCTTTATCAAGAAACCGGGGTTGTCACAACGACTATTTGTCTAACAGGCTTTGGAAGCATAGGGTACAGGAAGCTATAAGGAATTGTTTTTATAGGGGGTCATTCCCTCATTTCCTGCGACCAGCAAGAATCGGCCTAATGTTAACCCTGGATTGATTGATAAACCCCTGGTTCATTAATAGGGGGTGTCCCCTTTTAGTGGGGATTCAGACCACTTTTGGAGGGAACACCCCCAACAGAAAGGGACGGGTTTATTAATCCGGGGTCAACATTCCAGGGTCAAGGGATCCGGTCCCCTTATCCTCCGGT